TGAGGGCCACAGTGTGGTCACTTGAATGAGCTCATTCCCGGGGAGCCACCTAACCAACCTCCTGAGGCCATAGCTGCTCATCTGGAGGAGGCGATGGCAGGATGGGGTGCCCTCCGTCCTCCCAGTCACCCTCACAGATAAGGCCTAACCAAGGTCACAAATCAGATTTTGCCCAGGCTTTGCACAAGCTCCTTTCCTGGAATGAGGGGTCCCCATCAGCCAATAAGGGTCCTGCTCCACTCTGCTTGTTTGGATCACATGTTATTGTGCTGGGAGACACATAAAAAGGAAATGACGTGAGGAATGCCTACTGTCAATCCTGTATCTCTAATATGTGCAGAATAGTCAGGAGCATGCCATTTAATCTTTTCTCTTTATATCTCCAAGGTCAATGTTTGCATTTAAAATGTAAGACCTCCTGCCTTCCCACCATGGCTTTTCAGTCCTCCAAGATCTAGCCCCAGCCTCCCTCTCGAACCCACCGCACTGGCCTCCATGCCAGGCTGGTCCTGCTTCAGGGCCTTTAAATGTGTCAGTCCCCTGCCTATGTCAGGAAAAGTCCCCCTGGTTCCTCACACAGCAGACCCCTCTCTTCGTTCAGATCTCAGCTCAGATATCTCAGAGGGGGTTTCTGGCTCCTGGTTTCCAGTCCGGGATGTAAGGACCTTGGAAGTTTCATTCCCATCTATTTTCACAAGAAAAACCTTTTACAAACTGAACATCATCAGTTCTTCTTAGACTTCAGAGATTTGAAGTCATAGGGAAAACCACTGCCCCCAAATTGGAGAAACAGAAAGGGGGATACCGAGAATCACAACTGACTAGAGCAGAAGCGTCCATGAGAACCAGGGCTGGGGCCGGAAAATCTGAACTGTAATTGATGAATTGCTGGAGGCTCAGTGTGGGCAACTCTGAGAGGGTCCCAGTCATGGGGGACCTCACACTCTTCACAGTGGAGTTTCTCACTGTGGGGATCAGAGAAAAACACACTCATTCTTCTAGCAGGGGGAGGGGGAAGTAGCCATTTTGAAAGACACCAGAGCATCTGTCCTCTTGAACAAGGCTTGCCCTCAAAAGAAATTATTTTACCAGAGCTTAACCTACCTTGGGGAAGGAAAATGCCCAACTCCAGCTCCGTCTGGCCCTCTGTCCCACCTAAAGAGGGGGAAAGACTGAGAAGCAGTTGTGAAGGTCACCGAAAGGCTGACACTACAGGACTACAGAATGACCCCTCCCCCACACCTTCCCATCACATCAGTAGGAATTCTGTACAGGGGGATACAGCTAAACAACTGCACAGCTCAGACCTCGTCGCGAAGTCTCCGAGAGGCCCCTCCTGACAATCCTGTCTAAACCACCACACACTCTAGTCTGGCAGCTCTTTTCCTCTTGTTCTGCACAGCAGTTAGCACTAGCTAAGATCATCTTGCTTATATGACTACTTGTTTATTGTTTGTCCCCCCTACTAGAACGTAAATTCCATGTCTGCTCTTCCCCTCAGTGAGTCCCCAGGACCTAGAACAGAGCCTGGAACATAGTTAGGTGTTCATAAAATATCTGGCAAATCATTTAGTAACTGAATAAATGCAAGCCCATTAACATATGCCTTGTTTTTGTCTACAGAATGTGGCCAGTAAAAGTGAGGACAGACCAGTTCCAAGCCTCGATTCCAGGAGGCCTTGCACACATGGCTCTCTCTCTCTTGGATCTTTGCCTCTGCCATGAGACTAAGTTTCGGGTAACTGGCTGGAGGATGAGATACCACATGGAGGAGACCCAAAGGGCCTTAACTGACAAGTCAGCCAACCACTGGAAGTAAAACCCCCTGCCGGCTGACCACAGGTATCAGCAAGCCCAACTGGGACCAGAACTGCTCAGCTGAGCCTAAATAATAAATGGTTGTAGTTTTAAGCCAGTAAGTATTGGAATGGGGTTATATGATGCAACAGTAGCTAACTGATAGAAGCAGGTGCCATTGTTTCCTCTAAGAAACCATGGCACAGAAAGGTTCAGTGGCTTCCTAAAGTCACACAGTAAGCGGGGAGCTGAGATATGTACCCAGTCTGACTCTGCAGTCCACACAGCTGGTGTACAGCTATGCAGAGGAGATGATGTTTACTAGAGACAAAGCAAGGTGGGAGGTGATTGGGCTTTGGCACCCACGATCCAATCATGACCAGAAACGATTCATCACAACCACCTGGCAACACAGGTAGTTACTAAACACCTTGTCCCAAGGTACCTTGGACCCAGCTAGCTGCCTGCCGTACTGCCCAACCTAACACTGAATTCCAGCAAGCATCCATGGAGATGGCGGTCACTCCGTCTTATGAAAAGTCCTTAGAAAAGGGAAAAGTTCAAGAACAGAGTCTCGCACACGAAAGCGTACAAGATTTTCTTCAGGATTGTTTTGTTTCTGGTTCCTACTGTTGGCTCTCCGCTAAACTCAGGACAACTCTCCCTGCATACACGGTTTTCCTCTTGGAATCCCTTCCCTGAACTAATTTCAGGGAGCTTTTGGCATCCATTAACTAGCCAGTTGGTTTAGGTTGTGAGTCTTCTGTATTCCACCTGACCCTCAGTTTATGGGCACTAGACAGGCGCATGGGTAGGATTCAGGCAGTTTGGTGGGAGGGTCCTCATTGACCCCAGCAACCAAGAATACCAGCCAGCCAAGCCCAGGGCCACCAGGAGAGACAAGAAAAGGCACAAGGCTTAGCTCTCTAAAGGCAAACCTTAAAGGCCTGGAGACAAAACCTGCCCCACGAAAACAGCTTTAGCCATTAGAGAAGGACTTAAGTTTGCACCAGGAACAGACACGGAGAGAGATGAAAAAGGAGCAGATATGCTTAAAGAATTAAATTTCATTCATTTCATTTAGTAGGTTTGCGTCCACTGAGCGTTACCTGATCTGTGATGGATTGTACCATACAATGAAACATTGTTTTGAAGTAAATCTCCCCTTCTCCATAAAAAATGACGTTTTATGGCTCTTCTTGCTAATTTTTCACCCAATTAGAGTCTGACAGAGAAAGTTGACATTGTTAAATAGTATTCAGTCCCCTGAGCTCCCTCAGCTTGTAAGAAAGCCTCCGACTGCTGTTATGTAGATTAATCCAAGTTACATATTTGTAACATAAACCTGGGGCGAGTGTGTCTTTTGTCTTCCAGTTGTCTAGTCTCACAGAAACCAATTTGGTTTCATCAAAAAAACAAAAATGAAAAAAATCCCTGCACCCTGGGGTTATTACATTGACTTAAACAAAGTATGGTATTTCATGATTCCCTACATGATGTATTTACCAAATTCAGGAGGAAAAAAACTGCCAAGGGCCAAAGACCCATTAGCAACAATGTCCTATTAATCAGCTTTGGGTGGCAACAGGGGAATACATTACTCAGCCTCGTGCACATCGGGCTCCTGCCCTTGTGTGTGGATTAAACGTGTAGTCGCCTGCTAGAGAGAGAAAATATTCCTATCATTGTTCTCCCTCATCTGGAATTTATGATGCCATTTTGGATAAGACTCCACAACTTTCTAAATCTAGAAAAAAGGCACCGAAACTATTTTTAAACTCAATTTCCAGAGACCAGGTTTACTTGGCAATGTGATCTGATAGAAAGGATTTGCTATCTGCCGTCATTAAGTCTGCGTTGAAGTCCCATTGTGGCTTTTCCTAGCTGACTTATAAATAACCTCTGGCAACGCCTTGGCGTTCCAGTTCTCAGAGCTGTAGAAACAATGATAATGCCCACCTCACAGATACTGGGGTCAGGGGTCACATCAAGTGGGAAAGCGATTGGTAAAGAGCTCCATGGGTGTGGGCTATTGCCCTTGGCTCAGCTTCTGGAGTTTTCCTTGGCTCAGCATCCTATAATAGCCAGCATGAACAGTGGATCAGGAGTGAGGATATTCCAGTCTCAAACTCACATCCGTCACAACGATCCGTTTTCCCATGAGCAACATGGGTAAACCCCTTTCCCTCACATGTCTCTACTCACTTGCACCCATTGCCAGTGAATGGAGCATTATATTGAGAATCAGGTGGCTTAATTCACCTCACCACAGTGATTCCTCAACTTGCTGCGTGTTTCAATCACCTGGGAAACTTTGAACCCTACCGATGTCCAGTTGTATCCAATGCCAATTAAATCAGAATGTCTGGGGGTGGAGCCCAGGCATCAGTATTTTTCAAAGACCCTGAGGCAATTCCACCATATGGCAAAGTTTGGCAACCTGTCCAGCTCCCTTCTGTAGGCACCTGACGGTTCTTTCAACTTCTTGGTTCTAACACGTGTCCAACTTTGAAATGGGGATTGAAGCCCAGGACACCAAGTCTTGAACCTCTGCACCTCCCTCCAGTGGTCCTGGCTGCCACATACCCCACACCTTACATCCACCTGGGAAGTGTGAACCATGAGTAAGCAGAGGGCACCCAGGGGTAAGGAGGTGAGCCCGGGGTCAGGGAGGGCACAGAGCACCGCTTCCCAAACTGGGTGACCCAAGCAGGGTGAGATACAAAGAGATTTCAAGATCGAATAAAACTGGGCTGTTCTGGATGCATCAAAGCTCAGCAGGTTTCTTCAAACCCTTTAAGTCGGAGTATGATTATAAATCTGCCAGAGAGGATTGCAGCAGCATGGAAACCTTCATTTTCTCAGAGCACTTTAAGGAATATACTTTCAGAACCCCCCATATGCATATGGGGAGAACAAAGGGCACATGGGAAATCTTTGTACCTTCTGCTCAATGTTGCAGTGAACCTAAAAACTGCTCTAAAAAATCAAAAGGCAAGGACAAACCAGGCAGGGCAGCACACTGGGTCACTGGCCCCAGCCTCCTCATGGCTTTATTACTTCTCTGAGTTCAGGAAGGGCGGATAACTCTGCTCTTCAACTGGCACGAGCTGGTGGGTGAAGGCGAGGAAGGCAGGGGCTGTCCTCTGGCCGGCTGCTCGGGGCCCCCAGCTGGGTGCCTGCCGCTGGGCGCCCCGGCGGCCTCAGACCCTGCTGGGCTTCTTGGGCTCCTTGTTCTTGGCCGGCATGAAGGCGTAGAGCTCCTCGATGAGCATCTCCATGCGGGCGGTGACCTCGGTCACCGTGTCGATGACCAGCTTCTGCTGCAGCTTCAGCTTGTTGTTCTCCCACAGAGCCTTGTTCTCCTCCTGGAACAGCCTGCGCTCCACGCGCAGCACGTGCAGGGCCCGGTTCTCCTCCTGCAGGAGCCGGTTCTCCTCGCGGAGGGCCTGCAGGCTCTGGTTCTCCTCGCGGAGGGCCTGCAGCGCCTGGTTCATCTCTCTCAGCAGCTCCAAGGTCTGGCTGCCGTCGGCCAGGCCCGGGCCCGCCTTGCTCGGCTCGTCCTCCGCGGAGGGCCCGGCCAGGCTGCTGACCATCTCGCGCAGGGCGCAGAGCGTCTTGAGGTCCTCCTGGGGGCTTGGGGGCCCCTTGAGCTCATCGAACGGGGCGGGGAGGCCGGCGCCCGGGTCCGTGAGCAGCCCGGAGCCGTGGGGCTCCTCGTGGGGCGAGGGCACCGGCTTGCTTCCCTCCGCGGGGGCCGCCTTGTCGTCGGTCTGTGCCCAGTAGGCCTTCCTGTGCTCCAGCAGCTGCTGCAGCGCTCGGTTCTCCTCCCTGAGGAGCTGCAGGGCGCTGCCCTCCGCGCCGCGGTGCGCTTGCGGGGCGTCCTTCTGCGCCCCCTCCTGGGCCGGGCTGGCGGCCCTGCCCTCCTCGTGGCCCCGCGGGGCCTTCTGCTCCTCCCAGAAGAGCTGCAGGAGCCTGTTCTCCCTGCGCAGCGCCTTGTTCTCCTCGCGCAGGGCCTTGTTCTCCTCCTGCAGCACGTGCTCCCGGGCCAGCCGCTTGTGGTGCAGCTTGTGGTGGAAGGACGGCGGCGGGGAGAAGTGCGGCGACGGCAGGCGGCAGTTCTCGTTCACCCACCGCCCGTCCTGGAAGACGAACATCTCATCGCTGAGCTGCACGCGGGGAGGGTTGTAGTCCAGCTCCAGGTCGGCCTGGGAGGTGGGGCGGTCCATGAGGTCCAGCGGCACGGAGGAGAAGCGATTCAGCGGGTAGGAGTGCTGGCTGACCACCCTGCGGCTCGGCCTGGGCAGGGCGGCCTGCCGGGCGCAGCGCGGGCTGGCGTACAAGTTGTGGAGCCTGAGGAAGGGCTCGGCTGTGCCCCTCTGTGGGAGAGAACAGGGAAGCCCGGAGTTAGTAGAGGAGCGGACACACCCAGGGCTGGCTGGCCAGGGGACAGGCCAGAGGACCCCACAATGAACCCAGTCTGAGAGCCTGGTCTGGACCGGCCACGGGAGGCACCTGCGCACTTGGCCTCCCTCTTGGGGTCCTCACAAGGAGATACGGTCGATGCTTATTATCCCCTGTAATCCTGGTTCTATAAAATCGCCAAGTTTGAGTTAGTGAATGCAGAACCGCTGCTGCTAGGAGTAATATAAAGTTAGGCTCCTGCCAGCCCCTGGCCACATTTCCATCAGCCATTCAACACATGACCTTTTCATGTCTGTTTCTGTTGAAAGACTCCTTGTTTCGTAGGTACTGTTGATTCATTAACATCAAACTCTGCCAACGGCGCTATGACTCACACCTGAACAAAGTTTATCTAACACACCTGTTTTCTCTGCAAGGCACACACAGCCTCTTGTGCATGTTCGGCTGCACAGCGCATCAGCACTGCACTTGAGGGCCGTTTTACACAGTGAAATCACCAACAAAAAGCACAGAAACGTGGCACTAAATAAACTGTGATAAGGACACTATTTCATGGTGTGAGAGCAGAAACAAAAGGCTCCTCAATGGAAAACGTGCATCACGTAACTCAAATGTGTCACCACGCTGTGCATGTCCATGAATGACCACGAAAGTGCCCTGAGTATTGATTTCAGGGTTACAAACAAGTTTGAGGCGGAAAAGTTCAGGCAAATTCACAAATATAAACCATCCATCATGAGAATGAACTATATATTGTGGAGGTTAAAGGCATTGATTTTGGAGTCAACCAAATATTTTGAGTCCTGGCCCCACTATTTTACTAATTTCAAGAAGACGGGCAAATTATTCGAGCTTTAGTTTTCACATTTTCAAATTGGGATGATTGCATCTCCTGCCTTGTGTCACTGAGATATTTTTAGGATTAAAAGAGGTGATGTCCAAAAAAGCACCAAGCGTGGGCTCGGGCACAATTCTGTCACCAGAGCGGAGGAAGACACACTGCTCTCCAGCTACCCCAGCTGCAGATGGGTACCCACCATCGGCCTGGGCACAGCAGAAGCATGAATCACCCCACAGACCCCCAAATTGCCATGTCCAAAACGGCAGTGCTGTTGGTCAGCCTCCCCTGCTGTCTCGCTCCATTCAAGCTCATTGTCCACTCTTAGTCACCCCTGAGTCTGTCCTGCCAGCAGCCCCTTTAACAGCTACCAACACAAAGCAGAAACTAATATAAAATAATATTAAATGTCAACTATAATTAAAAAAATAGTCATGGGGATGTAAAGTACAGCATAGGGAATATAGTCACTAACATTGTAATAACTATGTATGGTGTCAGATGGGTAGTAGACTTGTTGGGGTGATCGCTTTATGTAAATGTCTAATCACTATGTTGTTTTGTATACCTTAACCTATTTTTTTCTTTTTAAAGCAGAGTCCTGCTGATAATTTTGGAAAGGAAATGCACCGTCACAGGCATATCACTGCGCAGTGAGCGTTCAGCATGTGGTAAGGGAGACAGCAGGGGATACCCAACAGCTCATAAACGAATTTGCGACGGCAGCCATGCGCCTCTAGACCACCGCATGCAAAGCGGCTGGGCCTCCAGGGCTTAGAGCCAACAAATCAGTAGCGAGCACACTTCCCAGCACAGAAGAACCACCGGAGTGCATTTTCAGTGCCAGTTTCCTACTTGCAAGGTTGAGTCTCGCAGCCTGGCTTTGGTCCAGGAATCTGTATTTCTCACAGCTCCTTTAGGTGATTCTGGCTGCAGGTGGTTGGGATGGCTCTAAGCCAGGTCGAATATGCAGATGTCCCAGGTGGGAGTTACACCGGAGTTCAAAAGGCTGAGATGTCAAGGCTGGGGTTTCAAGGACCCTCGCCCTGGTTCTGTCACTGATGGGCACTGTGAAACTGAAGAGCTTTCCACCCTCTCTGAGACCCAGATTTTCCACTAGTGACAAAGAGGGAGTCAAACTCCATGATCTTAAAGGCACCTTCCAACATGGAAAAATCAGTGAAATGTGCCTGTTGAGTGGAAATCATACGTGCCCTGCTCAGTTTCCAACACCGCGTGAAGATAAATGCGATAACGAATGTACAAGTGCTATTAAAACTGCCAGGTCCATAGAAATGTAAGGTATTGTTATCGAGAAAAGTAGGTTTCACTAAGGGAAGCATTCTGACATGTATTCAAAAAGTGGTAAGCCAGGGGAATGCATCCTGGAGAAGAGGCAACGGCCGTAGCAATAAATTTCAGTAAAAATAAGACCATGATAACTACTTCTAAATACACCAAAAGCACGTGATCCAAGTGCATTGCAAGGCTCTCCAAATATCAATTCCTTATTTCTTAGGTTATTTTCACAATTTTACAGATAGACAAGCTAGAAAAGAAGTCATCTACCATATATCTATATCTATATCAACATCTGTCTATCATCTATCTATATATACATATATATCATATATGCATATATAGAGAATATAATTTGCAGGGTATAAAGTTGGTTATAATACTTTAAGACCCAAAGAGCTAGATAGATAGAAGGCACAGTTCTATGCCGTTAACTTTGCAATAAGCACATGTCATTAACTTTATAAGGATGTGCTTAATCTTCCAGATAGTGAGGATGTGAAGGCATTCTGCAATCAGAGCCTTATTTATTTTAAATCCAGCCTCCCTGGTTTTTATATTTCTCAGCTGGGAAAGCACGCTGGCTCTTGTGACTGAACCTATGATCAGAATGAACCTCACTGTGGGTAGCCCACACTGTGTCCTCAGAAATTTAAGTTCCCTTGATCCAGATTTCTGGGATCATTAGCCAAGGTTAAAAAGGAGTAAAACTGGAGAGGTCCTCTCCATCCTCAGACTGGAAACAATGACGGCTCCGTCTCAGCAGACTCTTGCTCTCGGCAACATTACTATGGAAAATGTGGTTTTAGTCAATGGTACATGTCCCAACATGGAGAAGAAAAGGGAAGAAGAAAACAAATATTGAGCCTCAGTTTTGTGTTAGGCCCTGAGCTGAGCATTCTACCTACCAAATTCGTTTAATCCTCACAACACTGACATTATTATTATTATTCCCATTTTACAGAGAAACTGAAATTCAGAGAAGTTAAATAACCAGTGTCAGTCACATACTAAGTCACAAACCCAATTCTAACTCCCTGAACTTTTTTTTTTTTTTTAGCTGAGCCTGTTGGCAGCTCAGGGGCAGCTCAGCTTGGGCCGGGAATTGAACCACTGTTGCTCAGAGCTCAAAACCAACTGAGCCACTCGGCTGGCCCCAGTGACTTCTTGAACTTACAAGTGTGAAGAACACACACGGGAGGTTGCCATGGATTTATCAAAGGATTTTCAGTACTTTGGGGGTCAAGACACTTTTTTGTTAACTTTTTATTATGGAAAATCTCAAACAAATATAAAACAGAGAGAGAATAATCTAGCAAGTATTAGATGGGTATATTATTCCATATACCCACCACCTAGATCCGGCAGCTAGCAAATCCAGGTCACACTTTTTTCATATATACCATCACCCAATTCCGGTGCCATCCCCTTGGCACTAGGTTATTTCATTTTATTTATTTTTCCACTGGGTTATTTGAAAGCTAAGTCATTGTATCTACAAAAATACATCAATGTATATCTTTTAAAGAAAACCACAATACCGTTATCATCCTTTTAAAATTTAACAATGATCTCTTAGTATCAGCAAATACTGAGTCAGTGTTCAAATTTCCCTGGCTGCCTCATTCCTTTTCTTAGGACTGTTTGATTTCAATCAGAGAGATACTCTTCTTGATCCAGCTGAACATCCAAAGAAAAACCACTCACGCTTTATGCCTGTGCAGAGTATCCGTGATGGCTTTGAAATCACCCTAGTCAGCTGTGATTATTCTATATCCACAATCTGAACTGAGTACCCAGCAAACTTTCGACTGTCCCCTCAACAGAAATGCAATAAATAACAACTTAGCCTGCAGTGGTGGGTCCCTAGCTATGGACCACCTGTGTCTCTGGGTCCTGTCCTTACACATGCCATCAGGTGACCTTGGTCACACCTTCTCACCCTCTTACCTTGGTTTCCACTTGTGTATAATGAAGGCTCAGTGGCATTATATCTAAATGCCCTCTTACTCTAACTTCCTCTGGTCCAACGGATCCAGGTTTGTAAATGGGCACCAATGTGCCCCAGCAGCCCTCTTTGACCAACCATGTTGACACCTGGTCCCCTCCGTTAAATGGTCAGCACTTCCCGGGCAGACCCTGTGGTCTTCTCTATTCCATGCCCAGAGCACCTGGTCCCCAAAATGTTGGTGAACTAATAGGCTTTACTTCCTTACCCAGGAAACCAGAACCCCCTCTTATGACTGAGCCCTACTATCTTTCCTCCCACCCCCAGACAGGACCAAGGCAGCCAGGTCCAGCGTTGCCTCATGGCCTGGTTTCTAATACAGAACACAAAGACATCCAATATTATCCAAGATGAGGCAAAACTAAGCAGCACCTTCTCTATTTATGAAAATGCGAAGATTTAAGGAACAATACTAAATATACAGGCATTTCAGATATGCCAAGGATCCCGACTGACCCTTGGAAACATTATGCCAAGACAAATTCTTTCTGTCCCGTGGTATTTCCCCAGTGCCAATCAGACCAGCTGGACGTGGTCCTCAAAGGAAAGGTCTTTCTAAGCCTTGTGGAAATGCCTCACCCTAATCTACTTCCATTCCGAATGTTCTTGTAAAAATTCCTCCTCCACAATTATGTTAGTGAGTCAGCTAGCATTAATTTAGCATCTGTTCTCAGATCCTGCCCTCAGGGAATGTCCAGTCAACTTGAAAAATCAGTGAATAGCACCAATTATTTCTTGGTGCAAGTGAGAGAGATCAAAGTGCCACAAACATTAATGCAGGCAATAAGGTATGGGGACCTGGGGACCGG